AGTCACTATGTTATAAAATTTTCTGTTAATTTAATGGCATTTTCAAATGTACAAGAAGTTATGTTTTAAAATTTATCATAAGTGCCCTCCCCCAGCCATTACTATTCACGATGTAATATGGTGGATGAATTCTGGTAATAAAATTATTTAGTGCATTATATCCATTAAAATATATGATAAAATATTTTTCTTCTTTAGGCGCATTAATTATCATATACATTTTAAATAAAAGCTCATTGTATACAATCTTTTTATTTAATTGCGTTTTACTTTATTTTCAATTACAGAGATGCTGTATATTTTGTTATTTAGAAATCTGTGTTCATAAATTATCCTGTGGAATTTTAATTTAAATTTCACTAGATTTTAAAAATAAGCTTACTGACTCAAACATCCAATCATGCTGAGTTTATTGTTTAAATTCTATGTGACTTAAAATATAAGCCAGAAATTAAAGTTCTTTTGTGATTATAATTTTAATAAAGAAGTATCAGATATGTAATATAACATTTACTAAATCCAGAAATGAAGGGATAAAAAATACAATTTGCAAGTTTAAAAAAAATATATATAGTGTTGAAACATTTTAAATTGAATATGTATATGAGAATTAGAGTAAATGATTTTAGAATTTGAATCATTGAATTTAAAATGAAATCAATATTTAAAAAAAATATGTTTAACATTCGCAAAGACTTCTTAAGTTTAGGAACGATTATTGACACAGCATTTTTCATCGCATTTGTTTAATTTTAATTGCATATTTAATCTACAAACAGTTTGCTTCATCTTACAGACGATTCAGTCATCAAGATGAGACACATTTTGCAGTTGCTTACATAACATAAATTGGAAACAAATGTAATATTATATTTCTTAATATAACAATTTTCAGCTTTAGATATATTTATGCTACCATTTAAATTAAAGATCGGTGGCCTGCTATGCTTTCGTTAAAGCATTTCCACAGTAATTGTACAAACTCTAGAAAATATTTGTGATTTTTTTTCCGCCAGGCGCAACCGAAGCTATTTTTCGCACGTCAGTTTCGCTTCATAAATTTTGCTTAATTAATTAGGATTTGCCTAATCAATTTCTCTAATTAAGTAAGAGTTCTGCTACGCTGAGAAACAGAAGTAGGAGAAAGTGATTAATTGTGCATACAAATAATTATACAGCAATTACTTTTGCTTTAGTTTTGCATACATTGGTGTTTACTTATTCTTCTACTACACGAATTAGAATGGAGGTGTTCTCTTATTATTGATTGCTTTTGCTGAAGAGTTAACCTGGACGTATAGGGCCTTAATTGTTTCTCGTTATTTTTTATTAGCTAAGACCATAATTTCAGTAGTTTACGTTTTTTAAGCACTTTTAATTTTTAAATTGTCTAGTTGCAGTTTAGGCGCATTATATCTAACATAAAGAAATGTACAAATGCACAGGACGCAGTCTGTAAATTTTTTTCCTGGTACAAACGAGATTTTTGCGAAACTTTTTCTTGCACACGATCTTCAGGCAGTTCAATGAAGAATGTTTTAAAAATTTTGTATATAATATGTCGTGTATATTTAAATGTGTTATTATTGGAAAGCATTACTTTTGTTGATTTTATGAAGTTTTTCCTTGAAATTTGTTCGACAAAAATTCAGAAAAGTATTCATTGTGTTAATTTATAAATGTAGACGAAAATCTTCTATACCAAATGGTTCTCATCCTTTCTTTGTCTCACGCTCCATTTTCACTATTATTTCAAGATCATTCTCCCAATCTTTTCCGAAAATTTAAAATCCATATATAAATTATTCAAATTTAGTTTATTTTTTACGCGTTTTACATATTAAAGAGCAAAAAGTATGGAAATGTTGGTAAATATCAAAACTTGAACAAAATGAAACTTTTATGTTCACAAACTAAAATTAAATAATTAACAGCTAAATAAATTTCTCACCGCATTCTATGAAAGCTGTGAAATCCCCCCCCCTCGATGAGAATCCCTGTTCTTTACGTGATCCATCATGTCATTATCCTGCCCATAATAAAAACATTTTTATATTAAATTGCCTTAAATATCTACTTTTTACTGCTCATAGATGAAATATATCTAAACAAATTTAAAATAAATCTGTGGCAATATCCAAAGCAGATAAAAGTTTGAAGATACTGCAGTACCTCGGTATACTTCTGCCCTGAGACATTTCCGTCTTAGTATGCGTCCTGTTCGATGCGTAACATTTTGTTTTGAATGCAATATTTGTTTCAGACACTACTCTGGATCAATGAGTCACGAGTGCGCTTACTACACTTGTCTACCTCTTTCGGGACAATGCTATAAATGCCCATGATCTTCAGTACGCATGCTGCTGCTATTCCGTGAACAACCCACCCTATAACTCTGAATTTTCCCGTGATTTTGTGTTTTACCGCGTAAAAAGTTCGTTAATTCATTCGCAATCAGTTTTAAGAAATTTATGATGTGAGTCCAGCAACGAAGAAAATAATTAGGATCACCATGAAGGTGAAAAAAGATATTGTTGAAAAATATGAAGATGACGTGGATATCCGAGATTTAGCTGTTGCATACCGTATGTAATTAAACCTAGCAGAAATTCTGGAAAAAATTAGAAAAAATATTTCAGTAGAGGCTATTCATAAAATTCGTCATATCCGATTTTTTGTGTCTGAAAGTTCGTTATAGTTGTATAAAACAGATTAAATGAATAAGAAACTGGACGTGATCAAAAAATTTCTTTCGTCATCAACCGGGCTCATAAACTCTTATCCAAATTATCATGTTATATTGGATGACATGCTATAATCGAAATCCATTACAAGCAATCTGACAATCAAAATAACTTATAAAATATGCCAATTTTTCCCAATACATATTAAAACCTACACATATTCGACGTGCTCTTCAGGCGTGAGATATGTCATTACCACATTCTGATACATAGAGTCGTACAGCCGCCAAAACGAACGAACATATTCATTTGAATTATAATGAATAAGCTAAACAACAATGGATAGTGGGTGGTGCAATCGTGAGGAAATTTAAAACCGAATACCGACTTTGTCATGCAAAAGCGCCCATCAGCGGCTGAGCGGCAAAACTGCTGAAAAGGGGCAGTTCCGACCTGGCTTCGATTCCAGGCGAACGGGCTGGCTACATGAGCGTTTTCCTGATTTTCCCCATGCGTAACGTGTATGCGAGAGCGTTTCTCCTAGAAAGTGCTCCACAAAGGAATCCCTTCCCTTAGGCAGATAGACCTTGCGTGCTTTATCGTAATCAAATAAACCAAACCAAACCAATCATCATGAAGACTCCTTTTGAGCAACAACAAGTTTCACGAGCTAAATGTAACTTAGTGGCAGAACAGATAGGATAATGAAGTATGTAAAATAAGATTCGCAGTCATATTCCTAACAAAATTTCTTATAAAACATATACTCAGATAGATATCTGGATCCAGCTTTCGTCGTGAACATCTTCTAGTATATTAAAGAATATTTAATATGAAATTATATTGTATGTTAAAGTCCTAGTTCGGATGCTAATATTACTAATATTATTCTGCAATTCACTCCACTTCAAAGCATACGGAGAAAAAATATTTTTTTTTACTTTCTTACTTTTTTACAGCATTTTGATACGTTTGTTTTGGCAAATATGCAGTAATAAATTTTTAATTTAATTAAAGAAATTTATTTTGTTAACTTCTTTTTTAAATTCTGGCAATTTAGCTGCTTTAGATATTTCATTTTGCCTGCATACAATTTGAATTTGACCACAAACTTATATTATAATTTGGTGACATGACTTCATTGAGTTTGCTAGCTTGATACCGTATGAACGTCTTAAGCAAATTACGCCTGATTTTTTTTAATCAGGAATTCCATTTACAAATAGAGGATCCATTAGCTTCCTGAGCACAACAAATGCAAAACAATTCTTTCCTTGAAAGCCATCTATGATTGCAATGCTTCTAAAGCAGATACGCCTCATGCGTTTTATTAGAAAACGCCTCTCAAACATACCCAGTATTCAGCTGTTTGATTTATTTCGTTAAGAGAGAAAGGTAATTTTTGCAAATTTGGTTATAAAAATTAAAAGATTTACTAAATTTTGGTAAAAAGCATTGTAATATTTACAATAAATACCATAAAAAAGTGTAAAAATAACGAGTACCTTGAAGAAAAAAAACGCGTTTAAAGTTTTAATAGGTTTTTCGATAATTATTATTTCCAGATTTACTAACAACATAAGCATCTTGGCGAATATGACTCAGAAAGCCGAACAGAAAATAACGTGTGTGATGTGAACGCACACCAATCTTTGCAAGTAATATTTTCAAAAATGATAGCAGTCAAAAGCATTCCGAGAGCGACCATTAAGCAGCAAAAACGCTTTACTTTTTCCCGAGCACTTTGTAGAGATATTAGGTTATTTTCAAGCAGAGGACATGAAAAATGAGCAATGACTTCGCCTGGACTCAAACACGGACCTCTCGAATACCAGCCGAGTGTGTTAATCGTTACACCACGAAAGCATGCAAAACGTAAGGAGAAAAGTAACTCGAATAGTTAACATCAACACTGAGCAGTCACAACTATTAAGTTCGCTTCATGCGTTTGACGAGTTAACATCAGTATTATTACACGAAGGAAATTATTAGAGACAGATCACAGGGGATGGAAAACCAGGGTTGAGCGTTGGACAGCCCACGGATGCACTAGTGGGTCACTTTAATTCAAAGTATAATTCGATGCGTCAGAGAATCGGGATTTACTAATAATCTTAATAAAGTGCTTTGCAATGAAAATTTTGAAAACACAAACATATATTTTTCATAAATTTCAATATAAATGCTCATAAATTCATATTGTTTTGCCAGTGTATTATCCAGGGACATTCATATACAGATTTAAATGAATAAAAGAACTTCGGAAATACAAACTTAGAACGTTTGTAAAAGAAATGGAAAAGTAAATTACAAAAATACACTTAATGATTGCTTTATTTGAATTCTGATATAAAATTTGCATTTCGTTTTTATAATCGTTTGTTAAACAGGGCCTCTTAGCGAATGTCCAGGATTGTGGGGATTTCGCTAAAGAGTGAAGTCTGATTTGGATTCTATCCTCCACCAGTAGTCATAGCATCTTTAGCATGCTTAGCACCTGATTCACTCCAAGCACCAGCCATACCCGTATCCGCTGCAGAACCTGTGAAATTACCAATCATTAAATTAATATTGAGTAATGCGATAACGACGAAATTTGAAAGTGAGATAAAATTAAAAGGAAGTAACAGATTCAAGCACTTTTAGAAATTGGAAACTAAACTGGTATCTTGCTTGTCTAACCTGATTATAACACATGTCTGTGAATTTTACGATGGCAAGAAGCGCAAGACTGCGTCTGTCTTTGGAATAGGCCTTGCGCATCCCATCCGAGTTTCTCTCAATCCTCTTCTCCTTTTACAAAAACCACTGAAAACGTCTTTAGGCTTCACTAACGTTTTCAGTGGCCCAATGCCGTGCAAGCATTATACTCTTATAAACAACCACGCTTTCTCTGGGTTCAAAGCCGATTCCAATGATCGATGGAGCAGTCAGTAGCACTAACCACGTAATGATCAGAGCGGGATCTGAGAATGTTCAAGAAGTAATCAATTTTCTGTAATCTGTACATAATTTTGCTACATTCATAAAACTGAATTCAAATTTCTCATCTTGAAAAAAAAATTTTTCCATTAATACTTTTAAATGGAACTGATTTTTGTTGCAATATGTTTTACTCTTGGTTCGCTATATTAACTGCTTCCAGGATTATTTTTTCATGTTTTGCACACCGGATCTTTCCGTTCAGCTATCCTTTTCAGCATAAAAGCATGTGCTTATAGTTATATGTTCCGGCGACATGAGAAAATATAAATTATTCCGCAAATCCATGGCGCCTGCGCCAGTTCGTCTACACTGGTAAACATACCTCTTTCGCATCTATAGGTCTGCAGCCCTTGCACCGGAGTCATGAACACTGCGCATTGTCACGGAAGACGTGTTTGTCTTACAGCCAATGAAACTATGAATGGAAATCACGTGACCGAAAAAGCAATTCCAGCTACTATCAAAGCTCAGCTTCCTGAATAACATGACTCGAAACATTTGGGTTTTGTTGCTATTCTAAAAAGTTTAATTGATTTTCGATGAGATATATTCCTGGGGTATTTGCAGTATTCCTTGCCAGTGTGGCTTAATTTACATTGTTCAAAATAAGAGAGCCTTAAAATTTCGTGTTAAGGAACATGAGGCATATGTTAGAAAAAGGAAACACAGAAGGTCCTCTGTTGCCCAGCATTATTGGTCCAAAAATCAGGCTTTCATTTTTTTTCTGCAGCCAAAAGTATTCAAAAACATCTTCCATTGGTGAACTAGATTTTCTAGAGGCGTTACACATTCATAAAAATCATTAACGACTCTAATTCCAATCCATTTTTGCCTTCAACGTTTAAGGAAATTATGTTTTAGTTCTAGTTTCATCAGTAAATGGCGCCAGTAGCTTAACTCTTGTTCAATTATTCTTATCTTCTCTAAACAATATATCTTATCTCGTTCATTTGCGATTTGGCAGCTGAGGATGATGGTTCGGTAAGACTATCGAAACCAGTCCTGGGAAAATTTGCAAATATAATCCTGATTTTTGTCGTGTGACTTCTAAATTAATACTTATTCGGCGTGTTATTTTATCATAACTAAATCTGTTAGAAAGTTTTTTCCTGTTTAAGTTATTACTAAATTTTTCTGTTCCTAGAAGTATAACAAACGAAAAATGCCAATTTATCATTTGCTCATCTGTTTGCATTTGATTATATTTCCAGTTTTCTATTGTTATTGAATTTTCAGTTTTGAAGTAGGTCTAGCTAGCTAACTTGATTACGACGATTTACTAAAGTACTTAAATTTTCCCTGAACCAGCAGATTGTGAGTTTGAATACATGTCAAGCTGTTTTCTTAATTTTTTTCCGCTGAAAATAAATCTTTTATTTATTCTGCAATTCTGTTATTAACAGAGTTATGTTATAATATGAAAATTATAATTATTTTTGCGTTTAACGTATAATAATTTTAGGTTATTTTATTATTAAACATAGAATAATATTATTTATGTTATTTTATTATTATTTAAAAAAAAATTCTATCGATTATTGACACTGTAAGCTTTCATTAATTATAAAATATAATTATTTGAATCTTATATTAAAGTGATAAATATTGTTTTCCTCTTTCATGTTCTTAAAAAGATGCTTATCTATCAATCCACTTATCAGCAAAGTGTATTATACTTTATGCTATAAATGATGTAATCGATTTATCTTCTTTTTTTACGTAATGATTATGTATATAATAATATGCATGTACATATATGCTTGACATTTTGCATTAAACTCTTTCCCTTCCCACTTCATTAATTTTACTATTTTTATAATTTCTTTGTACTTTTGCTTTAGACCTTTTTACTGTCGTTTACAGCCGCTCCGGCGAACGAAACGAAAAAAACGTAAATGTATAGTGTGCGTGCGGCAGGCGGCACTCTAAATATGAGGCGAGCCGAAAGTCCTCTGGTAAGGAAAAAGGTTGGTAAGGAAAAGGGTTGGGAGACCCTCGAACCCGTCCCTCTGGGGTGCTCTCCATCAGAATTGGGCGCGAAACTTAGCTAAATCGCATTGTCATCTGTAAGGTGCTCAAGGCTGTTCCCAACGGCAGACGAAATCTTGCCAAGACGAATTTCGTGGGCTTAAGCTGATATACGTCAGACAAGTGAGCATTAGTCAGCAACAGCACCAGTATTTATTTAATTCTCGTATTTTGCATTTTATTGCCCCTAATGATTACTATTAATTTCCTGCTGCTATTGAGACTTATTACTGTTATTACTATTATTATTACTTACTTGAAAACAAAAGGTCTGAAAAATAAAGGCACTGAAAACTTTGCAAATTATTATGTTTATTTTAAGATCGATGGAGCTTTCCTGTTGGATACAAATCATGTCATGTGATTTCACTATTCTGGTTGGCTTAGCAATTCAGAGAAATGTAGATATAAAATCTCGCCATTCATACAAAATGATGTCACGCGACATGGTTGCGAGGGACACTTGTTCGGAGGTATGTCTCCTATTGTAAGCGAAATGAGATTACTGATAAAATACGTAATTCTTATCAGGTCTATCTGTACTCATTAACCATTTATTAATTTCCAAAAAAACGTTAAAACTATAGCATAAATGTAATACCGAAAAAAAAAGGAATTACTCTAAAATTCACACAGCAATGTTAATACAGATTATCGATAATACTGTAACATTTAAAATAGTGGTACGTTGCGCATATAAAACACGTTGGGAGGATAAATATATAGAATTCAGTAAAATTTAAGATTCAAAACTTTCTATAAAATAATCAGTAAAAAATTATGTGTATAGTTTAGGAAGTATTCTATACTTTTTATTGTTGTGTCGTATTTTAAAATTGAGTTAAATGCAAAAGAAACAATTACGATTTGTGTACAAAAATCGTTAGAGTTTAGAATAGAATAAAAAGTTTGCATACAAAATCGGTAACATTGCTTGCCTGAAAAATGAATGGTTTGCCTGAAGAATATTATGCGCATAGTTGACAAATTTTGGTATCTTCTAAAAATTTGATGATTTCTACTATGGTATCTAGGTTCGAATCCCGCGAAATGGGCGTTTTCGTTGTTTTCCCATATGTAAGGTGTATACGAACCAGTTTCCTTTAGAACGTCCTCCACGAAGGCATCCCTCCCTTTAGGCAGATAGCTTTCGTGTGCTTTGCCATAATTAAATACGCCAACACCTACTATGGTGTCACGTAAGTACCTCATTTTGCTTCGTGAATATTTAGTGTTTAGCCAAAGCTTTAATACTCCAACTTGACTGAAAATTTATTTTACGTTTCTTGCCAGATAGAGGCTATTAATTTATCGTACTGTATCTAGTTCGTGTAAATGTCAAGAAAAAATTCTAATAAAATGCTAATAAAATATTTATTTAAAAGCTTCATCTGAATTTTTATTCATTATAGTTCAGCAGGTCAAATTGAGCGATAATTCATCAGTCTGTCTTGGATTTGACATTTAGAGAAGCGTAGAGCTCGTTTATTATTGCACATTTTATGATGCTAAATAATTAATTATAGCAGAATTTAATTTTGTATAAGCTCCGATGATGATTGCAAAAGGTTCGCTTTTTAAAAATTTATCCCAACTATTGTTGTTGTACCCTTCAATATCTCCTTTATTAGCTTCTCTCGAAGCAAAAAAATGTATTCAAAATATGTATTGGTCAATACTATAAAAGTAAATCTTGATGCCTTGTTTAATAGTCACGAAATCCATTTTCATTGGAGTAAATCTCATACTGGTTTTATTGTAAATGAGAAACCTGACCCTTTGAGTATACGATAGAAATCAAGTCAATATTTATGTACAGAGTTGTCGATGAGTAGCTTTTACTCTACTAGAAAATATTGTTTCATTATTTAGAGAAAACAATAGTGCGCTTCAACAACGAGAGCTGATTACCTGAAGAATATAACTTTAGAAAAACAAATGTATCTGAATGTCCGCGTAAGTAAAACTCTGACCGGTCATGGTTGTTATCCAGAAAATTTAAATAAATTTAAATCCGATCTGTGTTGCTGCTACAAAATTCTCGCCGATGCACAACACTTTCTTGAGATGTACTCTTATTGTTGTTGTTGTTGTCTTGTCCATACTACATGGAACAATGGTTGCCAGAGCCTTCTCCGAAGATAAGTTGGACGTCTATTTTCCACTCCCAATTTTGAGGGAGAGCACCCCGGGGGTGGGAGATGTACTCTTTAATCCTGGGAGTGAAAATTGCGTATAGTCTTGTTAACGGAAAATGTTACCGAATTTAAAAATGAAAAAAAAAAAAAAATGCAAGTCCATTGGGATTATAGGTCGATTGTTTATTTTGTGTATATATATATTTATATTTTTGGTGTGCTTTTCTCTCGGTTGTTCGTTTATGGTCACAGAAAGGGCTTATCACGCATAAGTGGACCGGACTATGCTCGTATTATTACTATTGGTATTACCCTTCAATATCTAATCAGTTTTCCTTCAATCCTGGACTTTGTTGTCTTGGATTTGTTGCCATTCATTGCAGCACAGCTGTAATTATATTTTGCGACACATTTGTTTTACATATAAAAAATTTTATACTTGAATTAAACTTTCACGTAGAATAGTCTGAGAGTTTCTGTTAAATATATCTTAACAACTGGTGCCGGAAAGTTATATTAAAATAAATTCATTAAACATCTAAAATCTAGAATTTAGTGATTGAAGTTACATAAATCGTCATCTTTATAAATTAAATTATATCACTTCAAAGCTCAAACTATTTGAGTCAATATCTTAGAGACTGAAACGAGATATCTCCCCTGGTGCATTGGTATAAAAACAAAAAAAAAATATTTTTCAAAAAAATGTGAAAATTTAGTTCACTTTCTAATTCTAAAAATGCTATCTCTCTTTATTAAGTTATATCTTCTGATTCTCCTACAAACTCGTACATCTTAATACAATAATTCCTTAACTCCAAAATGTAGCCACAAACTCTTTTCATTTAAATACAAATACATAACACCTCAAAACACTAGGGAAGGATAATTACCACAAGTATGAATTCAATCACCACTTCAAATAAAATAATAAATTCTATCGTATAATTGAAATAAACGTTAACCATTAATTCCACAACTAGATCGCAATAATAACCCAGATTAGTTTAAAAAATCCATGTTTCCCTAAGGGTAACACAAGGAACATACTAGATCACTAAAATAAACACAGGAAAAAAATTACAGTAAAATACAGTTCTTAACCCTTGGTTAATATGCCTTGTGTATGTAATACTATGTGGTGCGCAAGGAATTTAAATTTTTCAATTAAAAAAAAACCCTTGGTTAACATATGGCTAGACAAATGAGATAACTGGATCTAGGACCTACTTGAACATTATTTATAAAGTACGCAGAATTTAAGTACTAAAATCTAAAATTGAAACTGAGGTACATACAAAAGTAATTCAGAAAACAATTCAGCTTTTAGCATTTAGCAATTTATTAAATTACATTCCTTAATATAATAGTTGGCACTCATTAAATAAATGATACCTCCTTTTATAATACCTTAAAATTTTCTCTCACCTATTACCGTAATATAATACATAATTTCTAACAATTAAACATGAAAAAATTCCTTTCCACAATTGTTAATTAAATAACAAGTGACGTTTAAAACATTTTAAATTTTTTACTGTTTTTATCAAAAATAAGCAATTTTATTCCGCTACGGATTTTATGTAAATTAAAATTTAACTACATATTTTTTATAGAATGTTAATTCCTTAAAGAAACTAAATCGAAACTGAGGATCATATTGAAATATCACCTATAGCTATACTTTTACAGCACGAAATGTACTGTCTATTAATTCTTCTCTGACGCACCACAATCTATAGTCTGTTATTTCAAAATAGGAAATTCAAGTTCATTTAGTTTCACAAAACTACGACTCATGACCATGGCAACAACTGCTGCGAAAAAAACGCCATATCCCCTCGTTTGCTGAAATCCTCTAATTTCCCCTGTGCCGTGATGATGACAAGCTTTATGATCCTAAATTCGGTTCGCGATGATCTTGAATTTTACAGTTTAAAGAAACAGACTACAACAATTAACAAAGTAAAAACTACTATTTTATAACAGAAATCGTTACTCACCGACTACAAAAATAGCTAGAAATGCGAGCAAAACCATTAGGTAAACTAGATAAGCTTCCATTACTATGATTTTCCGTTGTTCTCAGTTACGGAAACAGAAGTATGAATATAAAGTACCGCAGAACTGTTGTGATATATATAGTTCCAGAATAGTGGATGTAATTTAACATCGGGTGAAAAAAAGTCATGTTCGTGAGTTTTGAATTGTAACAGATGGATCCAGAAAAATAGCTGATAAATGTTTGTTCTTTGTCAGGTGTTTCGTTAAAGCTTGTTGTTTTGTAGTTGTTCATTAAATTTGTATAAAAAATGGGAAAAATTATTTCTAGAAATGTAGCTGGAACCATAATTGTTTACCATTTAAAGATTACATCTTATTTTTGCTGTAGTTCCTTGTTAATATACCTTGGATTCGGCTGTTTCTCAATGTAATAATTTAACTTCAAACATTAAAGATTATTTCTGTTATGTGGTCCAGTTCAGAACTCGTATATAATAATTGCACAAAAATATAAATGACAAGAGATATTTACATTGAAATAATGTTATTTGAGTTATGAATGTAGGATCCTGCTATATCCAGAAGTGTCCTCCAGAGCCTGCTGGATTGTCAAACAAACAAGTTATCGTTTCAATCTGAATTAAAATGGCAAAGTTAAAAAAGTTTAAAAGTAGCTTTTTATTGAACTTTTGAAATTAGCAGAAGGCTTTGCCTGTGGTACCTAGGAAGCTCCGCCATTTGTGAATACTTAAAATAACATAAAACTGAAAGTTTAAATTCAAGTAGCGTAGTCTCAAAATAGTCACAAAATGGTCTGAAAGTGTCATTAGTGAAATTAGCTTCTATCAGACAGAAAATATCGACGTTCTTTCATTACAAATTAACAAATATTTTACAACGATGTCGTAGATAAATTTTCCTCAATTTTGGTTGGCAGCAGACTGATGATTCAGCCATTAAATAAACAAGTTAAGCAATCTTTGATTTTATGCGCTGAACATACATGAACTCGCTAAACTCACATAAACATAGTCGTTATTTTCACAACTAAAGAGAAATTATCAAGCGTCAAGCCATTGGGCTTGCCTTTGTCCGAGTAAATGTTAACTCAGTTTTTTTTTTGCTTTGCTTATGGAATAAATCATGAGGTGTTTTAATGGAAAATATAGGAAGATACTTTTGAAATGTGCTATTCTGAACTTAAACGTTTTTAAATGATATGTTTCCATGCATTAGGCAAGATAAGTATGTCAATTATCACACAAAATATCAACTTGTAAGAGATGATTGCAAAATACTTTCTACAAGCAGGTTTACAAACTTTCGATAAGCACCTATTGCAATGCATGGAACCATACGGAAATTGTGTGAAGCTATGTGAAAAGGTAGTCTATTGGACTTCCTGAGAGAAACGCGCTGAACTTTCAGAGGTGATTGAGTAGACGAAGAAAAAGAACCAACAAGCACTAAAGTGTGGCATTTCGCAATCGTCTGAATACCCTGTAAAAGAATATACAAGAGGCAAGCGGCCCCGCAATATTTGCTGTGATAGAATGATAAGCTGACGCAAATCTGATGCATTCTGTCATCAACAGCGATCACATAACCCGATCATACATACGTGTAAAAACATATTTATGTAATTTTATGATGATCAAGAAGATCCTGCACAAATCGAACAAAAATTTTTACTTCCGGGTAAATTCACAAAAGTAGCTTATTATGGTTTTTAAGAGATGTGTTCAAGATTTTCTTAAAAGGTATGCTTAAAACAGAAAGATAAAATTGTGGCACGAGGAATAAATGGTATAATTCAAACTGCGAAGCTGGAGACTTGGGACTGTAACAAAGCTTTAGCTAAAACTATGAAATGTGAATTTTTGTCCTTATAAACGTAATAGTGGAAAACAACACAAAGGCAATGTATATACAAATACTTTCATAAGAAAATAAAGAAACTAGAGAGAATAAACTTGCAAATTTAGAAGAAAATACACAAAGTATGATACATAGAACTTGTTAAATAATTTGGCTATTAAGAATGTCTTTGATTTTTCAATAGTGTTGTTACCATTACGTGCAAATTTTGATGGCAGAATTGGTAAATTTTCTTACGCTTATTCTTGACATTCCAAGAATTTGTAATCTGCAACAGAACGTAACTTCCGATTCATTTTATTCAAATAAACCCAGATTGGACATAAAAGAGCATGTGCTGCTGGACAGATTTATAAATGGATAATTTGTTGTGAATACACAGAACGCTGTTTCAAGCAATTCAAGAGGAAGAGTTTCGTTTCACGCGCTCCAACCTTCTCGATGAAAAAAAAATGTATATTCGAAACAGAAGAGGCAGTAGACCTGTGAAGGAAATATTGTTGTACTTTAAAATTATGATAGACAATTGCTTAAAACGCTTTTCAGTATATATTAGAAGCGGAATGTCTGTAAGTCTGTAAGGTATTTCAGCGTCAACTCTGTTACTAATATTGGTACTCCAACATGATGGTTACAAACGATTTGGTTAATCGGAGAAAATATTTATTACTCCACAACCGTACTTGTTAACGACCAACCATAACTGGTCTCTGTATTTCATTACTCAAGCAACAGTCATTGTCGTACGACACGTATAGCACTTTCCAGTAATACGCCTTAACTAACAACGACATTGTATCTCGTAGCCACATCACATTTGCCACTCTGTGGCTGCAAATTGCAAGAACGTCAGCAACGTTGTGTACTCTATTCTGGAGCAATGAAATGCCACATTTTGCAGTAAAATCTTCCAAGTGTCTGAAAATCTGAGTTTTTAGAACGTTTTGAAACAACAACATCATGGGATATATGAAAGCATCCGGTGATGAAATTATCGAATAAGGACGTGAAGAGTCATGAGGAACAAATTGGATGAGGAAGAATAATGCACTTGGTATTTTCTACACTTAAAGCATTCACAAAATTACAGTTAAAATTGCTCCATGTTTTTTTTTCTATTTTTAGTATATGTGTCTCAATATAAATCGAAGTATAATTCTCCAAAAAAAATAAAAGTTACTTTATTAGCCTAAAAGGACGCTAGCCCGAAGGTTCTATTAGTCTCAAAATGCAAGTCACTATAAACGAATCTATTTTTTTTAAGTTGTTGCCACCAAATAATTTCTCTCTATATTATTTTTAAAAAATAAATAACAAAGAATCTGAAATTATATATGTATGCTTATCTTACTGTTAAAAAATGTCGATACCACCAAATTTTGAATAATGTCCTCCACCCTAACATATGTACTAGAAAGCTTGAATTTTGAATTTCGAAATTTATACTTTATACTTTATTAAACGTTAATGAAATTTTTATTAACAATATCAACGATTTCAGGGAGAGTGGCAACTTTGCCCAGAATATAATATTTTTATCTCCAACGTGGAAGACGGTATACCGGAAAATATAAAGATATTCTATTTTTAAATATTTTGTGATTTTGTTGTTGAATTTAATTTTACGTGTCGTACGTACGAAGAACATGATCTCTGCATATAATAAAAGAAAGAGTCTGTCTGTGTGTGTGTGTTTTTTTCGTTCGCGCTGCGCGTAAGCTAATAGACCCACGGCTACGAAATTTGGTACATAGGTGCATCTAGACAAGAGCCAGTGCACCTCGAAGCGATTTTTTCGAAATTCGAACTCGAATTTTTTTATTTTATGTTTTGTGATGAAATCGCGTCATTTTGAGACATAATGGGCTATAGGAAAGCGAGATTTTACTCTACACACTCCATTTTCACATTGTCATGAAACGTAGGCACTAAGCTATTTTACGAACTTAAAATAAATTCCGTGTTTCAATAAATCGATTAAATACGAATTTATTTAACAAAGGGAGCTTAACACCTTTTCAACGGGATTTTTTCTAAAAAGTTTATTTTTAAAAATGTGCAGTTTATTTTTCTTTGATTTTCGGACACGTTAAACTTTTATCCTTGCGACTGCTTTTACAAAAAGAATTTTGGAAAAATGATAATATTTTGCAGTTTTCAAAAAATTTAAATGAAGCTCCGAGTACACTTCTCACATCTCACATCTTTAAAAATGTGATTTTGGCAACAATTTTCCTGTCTTATTGTTGTTGATAGATTTTTGATGAAATCGTATCATTTTGAGTAGTTTCATTCTTTTAGAAATATGAGCTTGGCAAAATATTTCATCGTATTTCTTATGTCACTGTTTTTAAAAGATTGGCATATTTCATTGTCATTTCTATATATATATATAATACATTTTTATTGATTTTTTTTTTGATAAAGTTGTTCTGCAGAGTAAAATTCTGCGCGGAATTATATATTTTTTGAATTGCTTTCATGTTATTTTTTGCTTATTTTACTGTTTGTAAGATATTGAAAGGTTTTGCATGATTTGTTTTTCTTCAACGGAAAGTTGGTTAATTTTTTATTAGGATATTTAATATTTGTATTAAGAGATATAGCTTATTTCATTATAATTTTTTCACCTTGAAAATATAAGCTAAATATCATTAATTTTAATTTGCTTTTCAGAAGTTTTTGTTTTTTGTATTCGTTTATGTTATTTATTGCTCATTTCACAGTTTTTAAGGTATTGAAAAGTTTTGAGTGATGTTTTTAGGAAACAAAGTTCTTAACCTCATTTATACCATTTGAGTTCTTAAGATTTTGAAAAGGGAAGTTAGTTAATTTATTTATTAGAATAATTAATATTTGTATTAAGAGATATTACTTATTTCCTTGTAATTTTGTTATACGTAATAACTTTTTTATGAAGTTGTTCTGCAGAGTAAAATTCTACGCAGTTTTTAAATTTAACGTTTGGTGTTCCCTTCAGACATTTTTCCGGTATATTTAAAATCCAGAGTATTTAATAAATAAAGTTAACACACAAAACTTTATTAATAAAAAACAAAAGAAATATTTTGCCAGCGATCTTATTAAGAAAACTGAACAGTGATGTGATGAACTGTGAAATGACTGAAAATAAACTTAAAAACCTGTGCTAACACTTAGCACTACATCGGGAATTCTAAAGAGGTGTTACTATGCTACTTTTAAAATTTTGTAATTTTGCTGTTGATGCTGGCGTAAGTGAAAAGAAACTGATGTTTAATATAAAGTTAAAAAGA